ATTAAGATTTGGTTATGTTCTTTTCTGTTTAACAAGTGGTTTACAAATATATATACATCCATAACAAAACAGTAAGGTGTTTCGTTGATGATATCATTAATATTTTGATGTAAATATTTCTATATTCAATTCATTTGTTACTTTGTTCAGTAAGAAGTTATATTGTAGACAATTTATGTTTAAAATTCATTACAGGAAATATCTGATAAAAATTATTTATTTTAGTTTTGAAAAAAAAAATTGAATTAAATGTTATCCACTTTTTTTTAAATCAGATGCACACATTATAACAAAAATATTAATTTTAAGATTTTATTCAATAGGTCTTCACACTTGAATGGAAAAAATTGCTAAAAGATAAAAGTAGGCCAATGAACGTATGGAATACAGAAACATTAATGTGAAAATTTTCTGATTAGAAGATTTAAAAGGGAAGTAATACAAAAGTTAAGTACCCCATAAAAAAGAAACATTGAATTAAAATATTTACAACTTGAATTGACTCATATTGAAATTAAAGTATAAAAGATTAACAAAATAATATTTTTTTTAGTTGAGTTGAAGTGGTTTATTTTGTTTAATACAATTAGAGTTTTCTACTCTCTATGACATTATCACACTTTTGCTATTATTATATTGATTGATGTTCCATGGAAATTTCCGCTTTATCAATTAGCAGAAGAGTAGATGAATGATCATTTTTACATCATTGGTTGACTTTAGCTAATCGATCATTTTAATGTATGACTCTTCAGGAGTGTTTATCTACAATCTTAATCTAAATGAATGTAAGAACATTGCAGACTGTTAACGAAAGTTTAGCAGTCAGCTTAGAGTGTTTCATTTTCATTTTTATTAATATTTTAATATTGTTTGCATCTAGATCCTTTGAACACATTCAAAAATTAGTTTTATTAGGATAGATAGTAAGTGTACTGTGAATAATAGTGAAATGTGACTGTCAATATAAATGTTAGAATAATACAGCCAAATGATTACTTAATTAATTGGTTTCAGCAATTATTGACACCAAGCTAAATTTATTAGGGATGAATCTAATTGATAACTGAAAGCGAAATATAATACGGATTGATTATGCAGTAAGTATATATCACAAGAATCTTATTGAGTCAATAAATCAAAAAAGTTTATGAAGTTTCTTGAATAAGAAATTCGAATTGACATTGCTTTTAATGAAGCTTAAAAAATAAAATACACATATATTCAACAATGGAATTTCATTCACATTAATTGATCCAAGTATTTGAATGCTCCAACACTGTTTATATTCAAAACAGTTATCAAATGCCATCTTGTTATGCCATCTCTCACAATAAATAGTCTATTGCTGTTTGGATTCACAAGATTTTGTAATCTTATTCTAGAGATAGTTAATAGAAATTAAGTTTAGGTGGCGTGTTCTGTTACGATTCTCACTGAAATTTTGAACGTCACGTTCACTCATCGAAATCTTACTGGGTTGGGGTAGCCATCATAATCATGGAGTTCCTCTACTTTGTAATATCCAAATAGTTTATTAATCATATAATTTTAATTCACCAACTAAACAGTCTGTTATCATCAGTATGAGATTTGCCATTAAAATTGCTTACACATAACAAGTTTAAATCTTGAACTGATAATATTATCTATCAGTGATATGATGAAATTGACCAAAAGGCATAAAAGTAGTAATCATCGTTAAACTGTTAAAATTAACTAGCTTACTCATCACAAACATTATTCATACTTAGTTCATAAATCCTGGTGAATAACATATATATATTTTTATAAGTTTGCATAAATAATGTGCAGTTTTGTTAAATTCATTTCTTATGCATAAAGTGTCTCAATTAAAATGATACAATCGTTAATTCTGACTGTGAATAGAATTAATTAATACTTCAGTGCTATTGGTTTGAAAATGCGGGTCGACAAACGTATACATATACATCATTATTTGTGTTTTTGGAACACAATTAATTTATTTGCGTTCTTTATGTGCACAAAACAACCGTCATGTGTATATTTAATAAGATTTTGATAACTGAAATCATGGCAGCAACATAAAGACACTTGTTTTTCTGAAATAAGAAATATCCTTTATTGTCATAATAATTTAAATATATCTGTTTATGATAAACGCTTTGTCAACTGAACTATTTATGTTGACTCAGGCTGGTATTTTGCACAAAAATTAATTACCTGGTTGATTTGAGCCTTATTATTGCATATTTTTATAACTGAATGTTAGGACAGAATTTTGAAACTAGATATTTTTATTACGAGGTTTTTGATACTGACGAGTATGAGGAAGGTATCCATTAAAGATAAGGGAAGACGGTCACGCAGTAGCACAAATTAATTGAATTTGGACTTGCACACTGTTGAGTCCTGGCTCATTGATCTTAAGTTTAGGTGTGTGTCAGAGTCATGGGTAGACTCTACTGAAGAGCCCCATACAATAACGCAACAGCTGCCTAGTGCCTCTAAGTTTTTAATGGTAATTTAACTTCGGTCAGTTTTTGATCACAGTGAAGTATAGGTAATTTATTTTCATGAATGTTAATATTCATGATGGTCGTCGAGATTTACACTTTTATAAAGTCATATGTACCTCCACTGTGGAATAGACTCGGGCCAAGACAATAAATATTTAGTAACTTCAGATTTTCTTTGGTTGTACCGACTGATATCTGTTTGTTTTAAGATTTTATAAACTTTTGTCGCAGTGGTAAACGTGATAGTTTACTTGCAATTTAAATACTTCAATGAATTTGTTAAATGAAAACTAAGGAGCAAACAAAATAATTTTATTGATTGTTCATTTGTATCAGATAAATGAAAACATCAAAACCGTAATCAATAAAAATGTTATCTTAGAATTAGAAAATTAATATTCATACCTAGGAGTATCCGTTAATTGGCTAACTAATGCCTACTGATCTTTTGGGATTGAATAACCATTCAGAACGAGGTTGACTGTATCAATTCTTATTATTGTGATATTCTTTATTAGTGCACACAAAGAGAAGTTTCATTTAATAGTAAGTGACATTAGATTTTGATAAATAACCATCAAGTTGTTGATTTTAGTGAAATGGTTTCCGTGAATGACTAATATTTTTAAAACCTAATATTCTGTTTTATTACAGCTCATTCTCTTATATAAAAATATTTGAATACTAAGAATTGTGATAATTAATAGTGAGGACAATATTAACATTCAGCTGATGACTTCATGCTAATTGAGGTATATGTTAGTATACTTTGATGAATACAGATCATTGGACCATAAATAAAACGTCATTTTAAATATAATCCATAACGTAAATTTTTCATGGTATGTCCCCAGGTTTATTGGGCTGTGTAAATCTGTTTACATTGTAATTATTTCTAAATTTATCACTTTGGTTACAAAGTTATTCATGCATACTGAGTCGTAGATACAATAATTAATAAAAAAACCAAACTATAGCATTATTTATATTCAACTAGTTACCTATGTTCCTTGTTTTTTAGACAGAAGTCAATTCACTGGTCAATAGAACTACGTTCCTCGTTGAAATTTAATCACAAAGAGAATCTAAAATCTTAATGAAACTGATGCTTCATGTGAGATTTATACTCTTGTCATATATTAGAGCCGTTAGAGTTGGTATGTTTTAACCTCAAACGAATTTCAAACACTAATTACGTTCTCAAGGTTTTCAATTCATATTATACAACAATAGGTTTTCAAGTTGTTTATTCTTACAATGCTAAGTTTGCCCTAATCTATGTGCTTATATCATATATTTCACAAATAGACATCAATATCTTTTTAAATCATAAGAATATATTGTTTATCATTCTATGGTCGGTGTTCTCATTGTTTCAGAGTACTAGCTGCACAGTAAATGTATTTGATCTGACCAGCCATGAGATTTTGATCCTAAGGAATAAAAATCAGCTTTCTTTTAATGTACATGATGATGCCTATGCAAAAAATGAACTTTTAGGAGAAAGGATAATTGTTACAAAGGGGAAAAAAATTGAAGTTAATAATTACAAAATTGTGTAAGTTAAGAATTATATGTTATCTGATTATTAACTAGTCAGTAAAATCAAAACCAAAACATACTAAGAAGTTGATTTTGTAAAATTTTAACGTGTGCGAAAATTAAAGTCGTTGTTGTTTTTATGTATAAAAGTCAGGGGATAAGAAATAAATTAATGGTTTGTGAGTAGTTTTTCTCTTCTTTGGAATAAAAACTTAAGTTCAGAAATATAACAATTAAAATTTATGGTAAAATTTATAAATACAAACTTTGACTTCAGAGAGATTGAAGACAGAAAAAAAAAGAAAAGAGATTGAAATGTGATTGGAACATTGAATCCAGTCAGTATTGTTTATGAGAGTTTTTGAACACTATACAAATTATAAGATAAAAAGCTGTCAACTTATTTTTAGAGTAGCAACATTGAATGTCAGCATAAATAACAAACTGACATAAATAAATAACTTGATTAATCATACTGGATGTAGTTTTGATTTGATTATAAGAAATCATGAAAATTTTAATATTGTATGATAAAATTTGTTTTAATTGGTAAATGTTCTTTGATTTCGTCAATAATTTTACAAATCATATTAAACATAGCAATGATAAGAGAAACTTAATGTGATCAATTTATTTCTGTACAAATGTAATACACAATCCATAATAAATTATGTGGAAATATTTAAATGAAGAAATTCAGTTTTGTACATAAACATGAAAAAGAAGTGTTTTCATTTTTTTTATAAATGTCAGAAGTATTAGTCAACTATACATAGTGTGTGTGAGTGTGTTTGTGATTTGTCAAATTTGAGAATTCATTTCATATACATATTTATATATATATATAAATACATTACTGATTAGAGTACAGTGTACAATTATTGATTGAATACGTCATCAAGTTATTTATAGATATATATAGATGTATATAAAAACATTGATTGTTGTAGAAAAGATTTATATATACAATTCTGCTTTAACATCAGGATGATTATGATATTTTTGTTGTAATGCATGTTCAGCTGATTGAAAATTATTTCCTAATGCTTCATCAGTATCATAAGCGCATTCATAACGTGATTGTCGTAGACGACAATAGTAAATTAATAAGCCAAGTAGAATTAACAATAGAATACCAAGTATAACTGAAAATGAAAACAAAAATAGATAATTATTATAGAATGTTGTTAATTATAGTTTAGGGCAGTAGACATTGTTGATAACAAACTAGCGTTTTAAAGTAGGGTATTTTTACTGTGACAATATAATTTAGGTATTACAACTTGGATTCATCAGCTAGTTAAGGATCTATAAAAACATTTATCTTATAGTCTCTCTTACTTATAATGACTATTTATTTGTAGATGAATATTATCAAGATCACTGATAAAAAAATCCAGAAGATAGATTTCCTAATACAGATTTTCTCATCACCCCTGATTTCTCTAGGGTTCGAACATATGATCTTCAATTCTTATAACAAGTATATTAGTGTCACACTGCTGGGTTGGAATACACTAGTTAATGCTTCGCAACTCTGACTGATATACAACAATCATGCATTGATAATAAATCGGTAAATATTTCACTCCCCAAATAGCTGATATCCATTTATTATGAAAATCACTTACCGATCAGATTAATCTCTACAAATCTAATAATCAGACGTTTTATCCGAATGATCACCTAGTTCATATATCACTTAAATACAGATCAATGTTTAAAAATTTAGTTGATAATAAACTGTATTTTATGAATTAAAAAAAAACATATACTCATGAATAAATTGACATGGACAGCATTATCTGTGTCTAATTTTTAAAAACTGATTAATGGGTTTTACATATTTCAAGTTAACCAATCACTCTTCTGAAAACATATTTTACCATATTATAAACCTAATTTGTAATACAATAATTCTATCTAAGCAGAATTTCATAACTGCTGACAAGATGACACAGTAATCATAGGCAAACACATTTTTAAGAAAAATACACAACCTTATTTTGTACTTCTTTTATAGCAAAATACTGAAGCATCCTTTGAATAAAGATTTAACAAAAATGTGCAATCATAAATTTTATCTGTAAAGTGAACTCAATTTTACAAAAGTATGCGCTAATTAAATAAGTTTCTCGTCATATTATTGATGATAATATTCGATAGTAATTGATGAGTTCAAATGAGTAATTGAACCGCTAGTACCAGGGCATTGCTTTTGTGATCAACAGTTTTCTTAGCAAATAAAAAATCAGTTCATATAAGGATAAATTGCATTCGAGATTAAAAATGCAGTTCGTAATAGATTATTCATTTGAAATTGCCACTTAATTTTAGAAAGCTTCACAAATCTGAAAATCATATTGCTGTAATCGAAATGTGGATTTGTGATCACTTGAGTTATTGTACATTTGAGGTATGTATTACAATGTTTACGATTGGCTGAATAATGAATTAGCATGGATTTAAATATCAACTCACAAATACAATTATTTATAAATAAAGAAGACGCGTATTTTAGTTTTCTGTAAAAAACTGAAAAATATCCCTTGTAATCTCGATCAGTAAGTGCCGTAATCAGTTGGACTACTGTGTTACGTAATTTAGGATGACTGCGTTCCTTTTTTGGTTTTTTACATATTCTGATGAATCTGTTGAATTTACAATCCTAGTCGTTTTGTAACACTTGTAAAACCTAGTGGTTTTGGGTTCACTCTATTATAATGTAGTGTGTGTACATCATTACAGAGCTTTTAAATAGTTTTCAAAGTTTTGTTTAATGTTTAACCAATGCCCTCTCCTAATTGATGGAATCTGTTTGGAAACTTTTGATATAAACTCTACCTTTTTTACTGTTCTATCGAAATCTACCAATTGGGCTAATTGCTTACGACATTTATGTTACGTAATACGATATTCTGGTTTGTAAAGTGTGACAGTTGCAAACTTAATGCACTGGTCTATTATCAATACTCACATTATTGTGAGAAAATATTTTGAAAAATTAACTGGAAAGGAATTTCACTGTTTTCTAATAATAATCTTATATCACTTTATAGGATAGAGAACAAGAAGAAGAACCATTGAACTTGCGAAAATAACCAGTGATTAAAAAAGAATGAATTTATTTAAGATTAATTCAATGGTTGAAAAGGTCACTTTCACTTTGATGATTTTATCAAAAGTGTTAGAGAAAACTTTGCAATTTTTTAGGCCAACTCAGTTAACAACAGACCACTAAATTGCTTCTACTACAATCACAAATCTTTATTGTTTAACAAACAAGAAACAACTTATTTTTAACAAACTTAACTCCCAAGAAATTATTTTAAAATTTCACTGGTTTAAATTAACTGAACAAGGTTGCTTTCATAATTTTTACTAAATAACTGAAATAAAATTTGTAATATAGAATATATTTACATGAATTATTTATTAAGATTCTGAAATGTTATTTTCTGAAAATTCATAATTAATTTATCCAGTATTTTTGCTGTCATTATCAAACGCAAACAGAATTGTCTTATATTACTTTAAATAATTACTTTAAAAATCTAAATTAGAATAATCTGACCATTGTGAAAATTGAATATTTCAATGGTTTCAGTTCAAAATCCATCATGTTTAGTTAGACAACATTTATCTGAACTAATAGTTTCGTTTTCTCAAAGAAAATTAAAAAAATACATTTTTAAAAAAAGTAAGAAATTAAATAAATGCTCAGATGTGAGTCGATTTTTGTTTTTTCTAGATTTCAGAAAATGTTACAGTGAGAAAAGATCAAAAATACAAATGATTTATTTCATCAGTGAATTTCATCATAATAGTTTTGTTTTGCAAGTATCCTCCATTCAATGTGGGTCTTTATTTCAAACAAACAACTATTACTCAACTTTATAACTAATTGATTTCAATAAGAATAAAATCACATATACAATGTGAATTAGTTTAATGAATGTTACATTACATTTCATCCAACATCATTTTATTCTGTAGAATGTTAATAATATTAAAGTTGAAATAAAACTATGTAGGCAATATCAGTTCGATATAAATAGAGAACGAATTATTTGATTAATCATTAAATATGATTTTAATTTCTAATCATAATGTAATTCAATTCATGTATTAACATGTTTTAATTGATGAATAGTTTCTCTCCTAGATTTTACATATCAAGCTTCATTTATGCAATAAAAAAAATGATGATCAAAGTTTAAGATAAATAATCATTGTAATTAAACTAATTTTTGAAACCCTGAATCGATCAATGTTAGACCACCATTGGATGGCTTCATGGTTTCAAAAATGTGTAACTTAACAATCTTCACAACCCCGTAATGCAAATTAAATTATTATCTGATTGTATTTTTTCGCATTAAATGAAAATATTGAATAAATTAACCAACACATAAATTTAGAATGTTGCTGTGATGAACGACACATTAAGTTCAATGATAGAACTACCGATAATTTTATGTGAATCCGTAATCACTAAAAAGTGTAAGTGTATTTTACGCTTTGAAGAAGACATTAAAACTGAAATATATATAACTGAAGTCTTGAAAATCTAATTTTTAAAATTTTATTTTGATGTCATGTAAAATTTAATAATCGACGTTAGTAATCGAAATCAAGTTTACATCGCACCTATTATAATGTTAACAACCTTGTTCTTTGGTTACGTTGATTTTTGATATAGAGCTCATATCATGTAATAAATGTTATCAATAGTTTTAAATATATTTACGTTTCGTGCAAGGAATAATAACATATGAACTTCACTATCCTTTCTACGTGATGAATTCATGTATGAAATAAATTATAAAATATATTTTCGAAATTTAGACTATTTTGAAAATAAACTTTAACGTTTCTAGTGAATTTAAAACACTGAATTGATGATAACGAGATTTTCAGTAATGATACAAGAGTTATTTGGGATTCTTTTCACCATGCTAAAAAATGTTATTACCAGTTAAAACATCAGTAACAAATTTCTGTTTTTTTAAAGATAGATATACGAATATTTTACTAAAATGCATTCATCTTCTATGCCATAATCTTATAATCTCTCGTCTATGTATAACTATAGTACTTATTTTCTAGTGATAAGTAAAAAGATAAGCCGTAATGTTAAACAAGAAAATCAAATAAACGAATGGATTTATTGAATGTTTGATTGTTTGATTGAGTTTCAACAAAAAAAGGCATACTTATTCTTTTGCCCTTAACGGCAAGAAACATTGAATAGACTATGAGTTGGTAGAAATCGCAATAATTGGTGCATGAAGTTAGTATTTTAGTGATTAGTATGTTGATTGTTGCTTTTATTATTTTATTGTCGTTTTTTTGACTGAACCAGCTACATTATAAAACAAATCGAATGTGAAATAAAATACGCGACCGATAGAATCGTAGCAATTTCTTTGATTCATGTAAAAAATAATCAGAACAAAATTACAATAATAGATTTTTTCTCATCATCTAATATAAGTTCGCACATACACTCACACAAAAGAATACATTTTTATCGTTTTCAATGAATAAATACTTATTTATTTCAGTGAGAAAGCATTCGTAATGAATTAGATATTCAAACTGTTAAATAGTTTGTTTTATGACTGTTGAAACATGAAAGACAAATGTAAACTTGAAACTTCAAACAATTTAAGTCCAAGGACAAATATTTTGCCTTCTTTTACAGTAAACAGAAAAACAATTAGTTTGTAAATTGATAAGAAATATATCCCCAGGATTTTACTTGGTCAATATATTGTTGACATATCAAACTTTTCTCGATAATCAATAGGTCGATCATAATGTGAACTAAACCATGAAATCTGTTTAACTAATGTGAATTGCTATTACTGTGTTGAAGGAAAGCAGTATATTTCCCAGTACATTAGAATGTAGTAGATGCATAAAATGTTGGTAAAGATATTTTACGATAGAAACAGCTTAAACAAAACAGTCATAGCAACTATGCTTACTGATCTTTCTATAGTACATAGTATGCAGTTAAATATTTTTTAATGAAAAATGAGATTGGTTTCATAAACCGACTTCCAGTTGCACCAAGATATCGACAGGTCAAATCAGGTTTTATATTTATATATATATATATATATATATAAATTCAAAT